GTGTGTTTGTTTGTTTTTAATAGTGCATAAGAAAATATTCATTAGACAAAAGAATGTTTTCTAACAATCAAACGTATAGTTTTAGGAAAACTTTTTATTTCTTTTTTTTTGCAAATAATGATTTAATTTGTAACCTTGGATGTTATTGTTCGTGTTTGAAGACATTTAGTGATTATAATATTTTTTATTAGTTCTGTTAGTTTTTATTTAGTTGGTTAATATATAATTATGAGTTATTTTTCATAAAAGTTTAAAACTTTGTAACGGGGAAAAATCTCCGATTACCCATTGGGGATGGGGATGGGGATGGAGATGTGGAATTGTGGATAAATTTTTAATCCCTGATGGGGATGGGATCGGGTATGGGGAACACGAAACCCGGTATATCCGTACCCATTGCCATCCCTAATCATAAGCAAGTAGTAATGGACAAATATGACGTTATCATATAATATTAGTACACTGGTTATGTATGAAATTAATCATACAAGGAAGTCTTCCTTTTCGATTTTTTCAAATGGCCGAAAATCATTAAGTTCGTCAAGAAAGCTTTACATAGACCTTTTATGTTGTAACTATACTACCCTTAAACTCGACACTATGAAAAAAAAATAAACAAGTTTATGGGGATTTAAATGAATTCCTTGATGGATTTTCGGATACAGAATTAAGTAGCACCGTTTGGGCCGTTACACACAAAACCGCACAATCATTTTTTTTTTAAATTATGGTATACTGATCGATCCAAAAACATGGTTTATGCACAAGAAAATTCTTGTGTTGAAAACTTTCTTCATGTGGGGTAAACAAATATTTTATGTTTTAATGATATTAATAAACATTTCATATAAAAGATAAAAAAACTTTAAATATTAGTAGATAATACTTGTAATAATAGTAATCTTATTAACCGAATGCATTACACGATGGAATATTTTTGGGTAAAATACACAGATCGTTGTGGTTTGGAGTAGTTTGTATGTTTGGTCATTAACAATTTTTTTAAACTACAGTCCCTGTGTTTTGGTTTTGTCGTTGGCCTGTAAAAAGACTATTATGTCATTATGTATTTCTTTTTAATTTTATATTATTTTTGTTTATCATTTTTAAATATAAAAAACATTCGTTTTATCCCCGTTCCCCTAGCTCCCCTTTTACATGTCTCCCCAAACCCTTTTTTCAGCGAGACACTTTTCCGATGACACCACTGCCAATTTACCGGCGAGAGACCACACTCTCTTCCCTCTTCTCTGTTTAAAGTTAAAAACACAGATTCACATCTCTATGAGCCAATCAAATCCCCTCCTTTCCTTATTTCAGTTACCGGAAAACAACATCCGGCAACCACGACCTTCTTGAGTTTGTGTTTCAAATTCAGAAATGTATATAGAAATCTTTTCTAGATGTGTTTGTTATTGTTCTTGTTCCATATTTGGATGTGTTTTCTTTATTCCAAATGGAACAAATGAACATTAAAAACCGCCCACCACCCCTCGCTACCAGAATTGAAACTGGGGTTGAGGTTGTTTGAGAACCGATACAAAAAACCCAAATAACATCGATTTCTGAATCTAAACAAGCAATAACAAACCTGCAACAAAATTTGTCTCAAGACCTCTTAAAATCCAAATCAGGGAAGGAATCACTTCATCGACGAATCCATTAGATGAAAAAAACAAATCCATCAGATTTCTTGTTCCATCGTCAACATATCCAACTTGACAAATGGGAGAAGGATGGATTTTTGTTCTTCGAGTGCTTGAGGGTTACTGACAACAAAGAGATAGAGGCGGTAGGGTTTCTACACCTTCGTTTTTTTGTTCCTGTTCATCGGAAAAACTTGGCATCAACGAAGATGGTTACCACATAGACAACATACTGATTACCAACGACGATGACGACATCAGAGAGGTTGCAGGTGATGGTTATCGCAAGTCATCGGTCAAGCAGTGACGGTGGAAGGTTGTGCAAATTAGGGTTCTTCATGGTGTCTTGATATATATATTATATATATATATATTATATATATAATATATATATATATATATTATATATATATATATATATATATAATATATATATAGAGAGAGAGAGAGAGAGAGAGAGAGAGAGAGAGAGAGAATGGGAGGATGAGGGTTAGAATGGGATCGATCAGATGGGATATTGGGTTGTATGGATGAGCAAAGGAACCGACCCGGCTGGAACCGGCCCGAATTGGACTCGGACCAGGAACTGAAGTCGACCGAAATTAAGAACTAAATTGGACCGTAGGTTCTACCGGTTCCCGGTTCCTACCGGTTCTTACCGTGTCTTCAATGTTGAAACGTGTCCTCGATAAATAGCTACAAATGGTTCCGATTTTTGCTGGTTCTATCCGGTTCGGTTCTGCCGGTTCCGGTTCCTACACGTTCTCGGTTCCAAATCTACAAGAATATCGTCCTGGTCCCGCCCCAACCGGTTCCATCGGGTTCCGGTTTTAACCGGTTCCCCGATCCATATGCTCATCTGCATGGGGTTGTTTACCTGTTTTTAATTTTTTTAAAATAATAAAATAGAAAATAAATGATAAATAATTTAAAAAGAAAACCGATAAGGGCAATATAGTAATTTTATGTTTGATAGCGATCATACACGCGATAAAATCAAAACACAAGGACTTTTAGAGCTAAAAAAAATTGTTAAGGACCAAACATTAAAATTACACCAAAGCACAAGTATGATCCGTGTAATTTACCCAATATTTTTCACACTTGTCATACTTATAACCCACCTGTTTAAAAATATATTTCAGTAACAAAAATCCGATCATTAAAATATACTAAAGGGCTTCTAGTCTAGTCGTATCAGGTGTTGTCCTCCCTCTTTGAGGTTGAGGGTTCAAATTTCGTCTGAGACATAGGTGAATATAGGAGTAGTTTAAGAATATATTATATTTGCTGTTATATATATATATATATATATATATATATATATATATTATATATATATATATATATATATATATATATATATATATATATATATGGAAAAGTAAATATACCCTTAAGGGTCTATAAGCTTAGGTACCCAAACCCACCGTAATACATCGTTTTGTTTGATATATTCATTATAAAGTTCTGAAATTTTAGTACTTAACTTGTTTTAATTTCAAGATTTTCAAAATTTCACTATTATCTTTCTCTTAAATCACATCTTTTTGCTAAACACCTAGTAGGTTATATATATTATATTTGAAAATGAAAATTATGTGTATGATGTTAAATTATAAGAATATTGGACAATTACAATTTATATATATGATGTAAAACGACGTAGTATGGTGAGATTGAGTACCTAAGTTTATATACCCTTAAGAGTATATTCACTTTTCCTATATATATATATATATATATATATATATATATATATATATATATATATATATATATATATATATATATATATATATATATATATATATATATATATATAGGGAGAGGATCAAATGAGAACACTTAAAATGTTGAGAACGTGAGAACAGTTCTGGACCAATCATTTTATAAGGTATATTAGTAACTTTATATAAATATTAATTATTGATTTCCTAAAATCAAAGGATAATGATTTTAATTACCTAACAAAATTAATATTTCCTTTTAGTTAATAAAATATATATAAATATTTTTTTTTATGATTTTTTCCAAAAATTATATATAACCGTTTCAAAAAAATCACCTATAAATTTTAATTTTTCCTTTTATTTTAAATCTGAAAAGAAAATCTTAAAAAAAATATTATTTTCTACTATTTCACGTTTTTGTTTTTTTTTTTAAAATGAATAGAAATCCGATCGCAAATCAATACACTTCCAATCATAAATAAAAACACATCAAATTACAAATAATTCAATGCATTTTTCATAAACTGAAAATAAAAAAAAGAGTAAAAATTATCATTTTTTTTTCATAAAATGAATACCTCTAATTATAAATAAATACACTCATTCACATGAATACACTAATAATCATAAATAAATACAATCATTCACACATGAATACATTGCAATTCACAAATTAATACACTGTTATTTATAAATTAATACACATGATAAATGAATACACGTGCTATTCATAAATGAATACAATTATTCACACACGTGCTATTCATAAATAAATACAACCATTCACGCACCCCCTTCAAGAAATTATTACCAAAAAATTCAAAAATTAGGATTGTGTTTCTTTCCATTGGTACAGCTCGCTGTCACTTTTTGGTTTGCAAAATCTCTCCCATAAGGTGGGAAATTGCCCCTGAAAGGGTTCAGAATGTAGTTGTTGTTTCCAGGATCAGAAGTGAAGTCTCCGAACACCAAAATAGCAGAAACCTTGTGGCTTTGAGTAGACGTTTTGACGATAAGATCTTGTGGTTCATAAAACTTAATTCCATAGCTAGATTCATGTATAAATAGAAAGAAATACAAGTAAAGAAAGGTAGTTGATTAAACTTCATTGATTTACAGTCAAAATAAAAAGAAAAGAGAAGAGAATCATTACCGATCGAAGGAATTGCCCCATCGAGACCCCTTCCATCATTCCAGTCGAAAATGCTCTCACAGGCATTTTATCGAGCGCCTTATGTGCAAAGTTCATCGCCTTTAAAAAAAAACACATATGTTAGATCCATCTCTCCTGCGCTCAATCATCCAGGCAATTTTCTCATATGATTTGTGAATGAATGTATCATATTGGAATCATAAAGAACAGTTTATCAATGTGATTGATCACATGTAGATTTTAAATCTATAGACAAAAACGTAAGAGAGATTTCTGCAATTGAGACTAACAAACCGCAAATTCAGGAAATAGAAAGTCGATTATTAGGATCAAAAACCAAATTTCAAAATATAAACACGCAATCGAATCGAATAACAACAGCAAATCGAACGTACCTTTCTTTGATCGGGAGCTGTTGTTTCCGCTTGCCTTGCTCCATGGGGCCAAATGTTCTCCTACCCTTCGCATATGCTACCGGAATCGAAGGAGAAGCAGCCGAAAACTACTTGAGCAGCCCTTGCTGCACCTACCGAGACCAATGATGATGGGAACATATCTTCGTGGTGGGTTGTAGGTGATGCCCAGATCGATGATGGCGTGAGTTTTATGAAACCCTAAAAAGAAGAGGTGGAAATATATACACGATAGATTAAAGGAAATATATGAATGGGTGAGAAATTATAGGAGATAGTAAAGTTGAAATTCCTTGTTATGTCCTTTTAACCATTTAAAAGTTACATTTTAATGCCAACAGTTTAAGAATTTTTCATAAAACCCCTTTTTAATAATGACCTTAGATTTAAGTATTTAAATGGTCCAAATTTGTTCTCGCGTTCTCAACCTTTTTAGTGTTCTCATTTGATCCTACTCCTATATATATATATATATATATATATATATATATATATATATATATATATATATATATATATATATATATATATATATATATATATATATATATATATATATATAGGGAAGAGTTATATGGAAAATGAATGATTAGGGCAACACATATTTGAACCAATGAAAAAATGACAACACATCACTTCCACAATAATTTCCACAATACATTACTTGTGAAGAAAGAAATGGACACATGTCATTTGATTATTGGTTCTGGTAGATGTTGCCCTAGTTATTTGTTTTCCATAGAACTCATTCCTATATATATATATATATATATATATATATATATATATATATATATATATATATATATATATATATATATATATATATATATAGAGAGAGAGAGAGAGAGAGAGAGAGAAAGAGAGAGAAAGAGAGAGATAGAGAGAGAGAGAGAGCTAGGTTCAAATATTTTTAGCAAGTATTGTGTGCCTGAATGCACCAATGAGAATTCAAGAAATAATAAACAATTAAATAAATCATTTAAGGGTATTCTAGACATTTTGTACTTTTTAATTAAGGGATCATTTAATTGAAAATTCTGCAATTAAGGAAATATAATCAATATATTTGACCTAGTTTCTCTTATTCGAGTATTCACTTTCCCCGAACTCAAATCGGCCACTAATGGCTTTAGCCGCCATTGGTGTTCATCCTCCTCAATCGGTCGTCAATACAGGATATGAAGTAAGAATCCCACGGGTTTCTTACGACTTCTTTCACTTTTCCTTTCTGTTCATATTCAATTAACCGATCAGCTAATGATCACTGAACCCTAACCCTTATCTTCATCAGGTAAGCGAACTCCAATTGGTGAAGATTCCACATTACGAAGAAAGTCTTTTGTATCATTTGTCTATGATGCTACCTCTGGTGCGGATGGTGGTGTAGAGACGGCGAAAAGTGGTGACTCTGGATGACAACGTAGAGGAGGAAGGTGAAGGTAGATGGGAGTTCCCTTTCTATTTCCATTACTCTATCCTAAGGTGTGTTCATTACTTTTTGTATTAAATTCGGTTTTTAGAGTTATAAAAAAATAGAATTCTTGTGGAATTGAAATTGATTGAGATATGTAGGGTTTTTGGTTGATAATTGGAAGAAAGATTTTCATCTCTGTATCAACGAATCCTATCATTCAACAAAAAAATCCTTCCAATTTCAATTGTTTGCCTTCTGTCCTCCCTCACAACTTCGAGAATGGCCCCAAAGTGTCATTGGATTTTTGTTCTTTAACCCCAAGTATATTTCTTTCTTAATTTTCTTCACTTTTTCATGGATTTTTCCTTTAAAGATTTAAGAATAAGAAGTCGATCGGTGGCCATCAGTTGTTAACCCGATTTTTCCTTTGCTGTGTATTTTTTGTGGTGATGTAAGCAGGAACATGCGTTTCTTTCAAATATTCATGATTCAGATATTTTGTTGGAATTTAATGTATGTTAGGATGATGCAGGAATGATGAGGAAACTTATGAAAAAAAAGATATGTGATACTTCATTATCAAAGAATGAAGAAAAACAACAATATTCTTTCAGAATTTCAGGATTCAACATCCAAAAACAGCAATATTCTTTCAGAATTCCAGAATTCAAGAAGAAAACATGGAAAACGAGAGTATTCTAGCAGAATGTTGTTATTTTTTAAGAATGTTATTCATTTTTGTTGATATTCTTTTAGAATATGTTATAACTATATTAAAATGTATAAGAGTTTTAGTTTGTAAGAATATGTATGAATTTATATTTAAGTTCGGATGTATAAAAGTATATTAGAATGTTTGTTATTTTACAACATCTTATTCAAGAATTTTGTTTTTCTTCAATAATATTCTATTAGAATATAATTCTGAAAGAGTATCATTCTAACAAAAAACATTCTAATAGAATAAAATCGGTAAAAATTGAAATTGAATTAATTAAAAAATTCAGATTTTTTTTTTTTAAAAAATTAGGAGAATTAATTATCCATAAAAATCCGAAATTTTCCTTTTATAAATGTAGCTAATTGTCCAAAATACCATTTTGCTAAAAATTGTGTGATTATATGGTACATGTTACCCCATTGTAATATCATACACTCTCAAATCATGTCCGTTGATTAATTTCATCCGTTGATCCAGATCTGTGCATTCTGACACACAATACTTAGTAAAAATAAAATAACCTAAACATATATATATATATATATATATATATAGATCCGGTAAAAATTTTTTTTGATAGGAAGGTAAGAAATTTTTTTTCGACTTATTTTTTTGGCGAACAAAATAAATGAATCATTAGATGAATCAATAATAAGATGATTCACAAAAAAATTCCGAAAAAACATTTCGATAATTCAATTTTACGATGATTTTGTTGATATTCACTAAAATTGTCATAAAGGTGAATTTTTTTTATTAATTTACTTAAAAATGAATCATAAAAGTGTTTTTTTCGGATTTTTTTCTTGTAAATCATCTTACTATTGAATCATCTAATGATTCATTTCATTTTTTTCCTAAGAAAATATGTATATAAAAAATTTCTTACCTTCCTACCAAAAATTTCCTTCTTATTTGATCTTGACTCTCTCTCTCTCTCTCTCTCTCTATATATATATATATATATATATATATATATATATATATATATATATATATATATATATATATATATATATATATATATATATATATATATATATATATATATATATATATATATATAAAGCTGAATGAGGCAATTTTTAAAACCGGATGGATTCCACATTAAAAGGCATGGTTAGATGGAACTCTATTTATCTAATGAATGAACTTTTGTTACTTCAAGAAGAATTATTAACGGGATTATATAGATAACGTTTTCCCCACGATCCCCATGATGATATTATCTCGATCGATTGGACATTTGGACTCTTTTTATAAGAGTTGCATAATGATTTATACTAAGCTGCATAATGATTTATACTAAGCAACGATCATGCTATAATTGTCGAAGAATTTGCAAACTTTGATATTTTAAAATTGTGGCAAGAAAGAGAAAATGTTGGTAAATAAAAAGTTTTATGCAAAATCGCCAAGGATGTACTAATGGTCTATGCTAGCATCTTAGCTTTAGCTAGGACCGTCAAATCGGGCAGTCGTGTCGTGTTTTTGTTTGACACGACACGACACGACAAGGTTTTGTATAATACGAACATGACACGACACGATGTCGTGTTTTTTTTTCATTAACACGAAAACGAACCAATTAAAACACGACAACACGACACGACACGACAAAGATAATATTACATAACTATTAGTGTATTTCGTTCATACTTACAGATATATAACACGACAAAAACGACAAACACGAAAAACACGACAACCACAAGCTTAATCGTGTCAATTCCGTGTCGATTTATGAACACGAACATGACACGACACGACATCGTGTTTTTTAATCTTGATACGAAAACGACACGAACACGAATTCGAATTTTGATTTCGTCCCGATTTCGTTTCGTTTCATGTATTTTTGTCGTGTCGTGTCATAAATTGACACCCCTATTTAGCATGTAGTTTTTCTCTTAGTCACAAGATATCAAGTGTAAGAAGTTGTATGTTGACACATGAATCAGTAATACAAATGCCTGTGATGCTTAGAGAGTATTACGATTTGGTGGAAAGATCAAAAAAACTTTGTGGATCTTGAAATCTAAGAATGAAATCCAAATTACGCAAAAGTAAATCGTCTAACACCACCCCCGACCAAAATACACATATAGCATCAGAAATTATAATTATTAGCCTTTTTCTCCGGATATGTCCGTTTCATTGATATGCTTATGTTTTACAATTTGTGTAATGTTATGAAATAATTTCCAAGTTTTTCATATTAATGAAATATTAAAGTTTTTTATATTATTGTTATAAAACTGGATCAGAAAAAACCGAAACCTGTAAAATAAACCGTCTGAAACCTGTCTTGCACACGACGAGTTCACAGAAGGCAAAAAGAAAAAGAAAACCCATGAAGCTAAAAACTGGTTTGAATTCACCTCTACAACTTTAATCTAAAGCTACTGATGGGCCATCGCATTATTTGACACCCAGAGTTGAACATCTAACATAACCAAATTGAAATTGCCCTCAACACAATTTTCAAATCAATCCAACGTACTCCTAAGTCCAACCATAGTTATTACAAGTGTCACCATCATTACATTTGTTATTTATTTTCTTAATACATGGTCATCGTCGACACAAAACTCTTGAGTATATGCATGTGCAAAAATTTACATAAACATTTAACAAAAATATAATATATTGGACATCATTTATAGTGTGTAATATTTAATAAAGAAAATGACTTAGTAATATAGTTTCCATTATGTATATATATATTCTTTTTTATTTTTTGCAAAATAAGTTTTTTGATTTTGTTGTTTTTATACACATTCAGTTTTTATGACAAACTATTCCATGTACAATTTTCAGTTTATACACATTTAGTCATTGATATATATATATATTTTTTTGCAAAATAAATCTTTTATGTTTTTGTACACATTCAGTTATTATGACATGAAACTTC